GAGTCGGTTCCGACTCATAGTGACCCTGTACAGGGTTTCTGAGGCTGTAAATCTTTGTGGGAGCAGAAAGCCTCATCTTTCTCCCATGGAGCAGCTGGTGGTTTCAAACTGCTGACCTTACAGTTTGCAGCCCGATTCGTAACCACTGCGCTACCAGAGTTCCTTTCTTGTAGCGTAGTGGTTACGAATTGGACTGCTAATTTCAGGGTCAGCAGTTCGAAACCACCAGCTGTTCCGTGGGAGAAAGATAAAGATTTCTGCTCCCGTAAAGATTTACCTGTACCAGGGTCGCTATGAGTCGGAACCAACTTCACGGCACATAACAACAGCAACAAACTACTTTATCACAATAGTAAAATGGCACCCTAAAGACAGTGGAAGAATTTGGGTGGGATTATCTGATAAGGACCTAATAGCTAAAATATATGTAAAACTGCTGTAATTAAGCAACAAAAAGACCTCAAACAGTGAGCAGAGGACATGAACAGACAAATCAAAGTGGACATTCTCACTGTCAGAACACACATGAAAAGATGCTTAGCATCGTTAGCCATTTGTTGTTTAAGTGCTGTTGAGTCAGTTCTGACTCATAGCAACCTTGCGGTGCAAACTGACTTTGCAGTCCAGTGCATTAACCTGCAGCACCACACCAGGACTCCATCACAAATAGCTATTAGAAAGATGCAAACTACAATGAGATACCTCCTCACCCCTTCACTGTTGTTGTTATTAGGTGCCATTGAGTTTCTTCTGACCCATAACAACAATATGTAAAACAGTCTTACCCCATCCTCACAATTGCTGCTATGCTTGAGCTGTTGCTGCTGCCACTATGCCAATCCATCTCACTGGGGGTTCTCTACTTTTCCAAGCATGATGTCATTTTCCAGGGACTGGTCCTTCCTGATAATATGTTCGGAGTATGAGAGACAAAGTCTTACCATCCTGGCTTACAAGGTGCACTCTTACTGTACTTCCAACACAGATCTGTTGGTTCTTTTGGGAGTCTATGGTACTTTCAATATTCTCCTCCAACACTAAAACTCAAATACATCAATTCTTCCATGGTCTTCATTATTCACGGTCCAACTTTCACATGTTTATAAGGCTATTGGAAGTATCATGGCTTGGGTCAGGTGCACTGTAGTCCTCACACTGACATCTTTGCTCTTGAACACTTTAAAGAGGTCTAATGCACTGGACTGCAAGGTCGGTTTAAACCCCAAGATTGGTGGTTCAAGCTCAGCAATCACTCCTTGGGAACCCTATTACAGAGTCGCTATGAGTCGGAACCGACTCAGCGACACTTAACAACAACAACAACATATTTATTTATAAATATGAATTTACTTTTGTTGTTATTGCTACATGCTGTTAAGTGCTGTCACATCGGTTCTGACTCATAGAGAACCTATGTTTAGGGTTCCTGAGGAGCATCTGGTGGGTTTGAACTGCTGACCTTGAGGTTCACAGTCCAGTGCTGACTACAGCGCCACACTAGGAGTCCAGGTGTATATCTTAGCGACCTAAAAGAGACATTTGTGTACTTGTGTTCATAAAATTCTTGTTCACAATAGCAACAAGGTAGAAGCAATCCAGTTTCCCATCTGTGGACGTATGGATGAACAAAGTGTACTACTCTGCCATAAAGACAAGTTCTGATGCATGCTACAACATGAATGAACATCAAAGACATTATGCTTAGTGAAATAAATCAATCACAAAAGAATAAATAATGTATGATCTCACTTATACCTATGAAATAGAAAGAACAGGTAAATAACTGAAGACCTGAACTGGGAAGGAGATGGGAGAGAGAGACTCATTCTATGCAAAGTAGTGGTTTTATATTTATGTTGTTGTGAAAATTGACATCAATGAAAGGTAATAGCTGCACAACTTTATGAATACACTAGGAAAGGTGAGGAATGGTAAATATAGTATATACACTTTTACAACCACCACAGCAACCAATAGAAAAACAGTTGTAGCTGATACTACTGAGATACAACTAAACAGTTCATGGGTTTGTTCTCTTGCTTCAAAGGTCATAGCTTTGCAGGACTATCCAACCAATTGGCCTAGCACTGTTTACAGAGTTTTGATTTACGTCCTAGTTTAGTGAGTAGTGTATAGGGTCTTTTTTGCAAGTGACCATCCAATCTGCAGCAATTGATCTCTCTTCACTTACAGTTGCAGAAGCAGAAGGAGTCCTAGAAACAGGATTCGGAATTATGCTGCACTAAAAACCTTTCCTTAGCCATAAAGCCAAAATAA